CGAAACAATTACGAAACAATACGAAATAAATTGGAAAAAATGTTTCGATTTTTAATTACTCCTCACAGTAGTCCTGCATGGCTCAATATTGGATCGTAAGCTAATTTAAATACGAATTAATAACGAATTACGAAATTAACGAACGAAACCGCCCAAGCCTATTAACTAGGGATTTTAATTAGGCTTCCTTTAGTCTTCTTTGACTAAGGAACCTGGCCAGGTTTCTTTCTTCAGCCGTCCTAGACTGAAAAAACACCAGCCGCTCACACACAAGCCTCTCTCTCAGGCCTTTCCCAGCCTCTCTCTGCTGTTTTTTTAAAAACGCACATAACTTTTCCTGCTTGGCTCCGCCCACTTCTCCCTCTCATGAGCTAGCCAGCCTCGTCTCCTTGGCAACGCTCACTGTGGATTCAAACCAGATGACTCCAGTTTTAGCTACTGTTACAAACACAAATACATACTCTAACAGTTAAACACAAACATAATAACAATGACTTCTGCACAGTCATTTACCTTTTCATCATTTTTGGGGCTTTTTAAGTCCATTCTGCTGTGTTTTTCAGTGTTTTTATGAGTGAAGGACATACATTGGGTTGTTAGGTATATTGTGTCCAAATTTGGTGGCAATTTGCCCAGTGGTTTTTGAGTTCTGTTAATCCCACAAATGAACATTACATTTTTATTTATATAGATTGTTCAACCCCATATGGATACAAATGGCCTTCAGCATATACTCCTTCTGTGTTTTCACACCATTTCATCTACTTTTAAAAAAAATTGACATTGAAAATTTGTTAAAGCCAGAACAATGAAAGAGTTGCACAATATTTTGAGTGGACGATCTGCTTGAAGCACCCTAACTTTGAATCCAACACATATGCTCTAAAAATATATCTCTAAACCTGCTATCAATTGATGATTTCTATTGAAATTCCCAATAAAGTTCATTTCTCTACAGCAGCGGTTCTCAACCTGGGGGTCGCGGCCCCTTGGGGGGTCGTTTGGCCATTTTCTGGGGGTCGCGAAGCCGCATTTGCTGGCCACGCCCCCTCCAAAATGGCAGCCGACCCCCTGAGCCACTGGCACTCCCGTGCGCGAAGCCATCCGCCTGTCCCTCATCTCCTTCTGATGGCAGAAGGAGGTGAGGGATGGGCAAGTGGCTCCTTGGGCACCCCTTGCCTGCTTCGCTCTCCCGCTGGCAGGCAAGGGTGCGGAGCAGGCGGGGGCTCTTCGTTGCAGGTGAACTATAAATCCCAGCAACTGCATCTCCCAAATATCAAGGTCTATTTTCCCCAAACTTCACCAGTGTTCACATTGGGGCATATTAAGTATCTGTGCCAAGTGTGGTCCAGATCCATCATTGTTTGAGTCTGCAATGCTCTCTGGATGCAGGTGAACTCCAACTCCCAAACTCAAGGTCAGTGCTCACCAAACCCTTCCAGTATTTTTCGTTGGTTGGAGTTCTGTGTGCCAAGTTTGGTCCAATTCCATCACTGGTGGAGTTCAAAATGCTCTTTAATTGTAGGTGAACTATAAATCCCAGCAACTACAACTCCCAAATGACATAATCAATTTTCCCTCCAACCCCACCAGTATTCAAATTTGGACATATTGGGTAACGTAAGGTAAAAGTTTTCCCCTGACATTAAGTCCAGTCGTGTCCAAATCTGGGAGTTGGTGCTCAATTTCTAGGCCAAAGAGCCGGTGTTGTCCATAGACACCTCCAAGGTCATGTGGCTGACATGACGGCATGGAGCGCTGTTGTTGGGTATTTGTGCCAAATTTGGTCCAGTGAATGAAAATACATCCTGCATTTCAGATATTTACATTATGATTCATAACAGTAACACAATTACCATTAGGAAGTAGCAATAATAATAATTTTATGGTTGGGGGTCACCGCAACGTGAGGCGCTGTATTAAGGGGTCGCGGCATTACGAAGGTTGAGAACCACTGCTCTACAGGTATTCCAGATAGAAATCTAGAGAGAACTTTGTATGTTGCATATTAAACTGAGTTTTTAAAAAGCATTGATATGGCTGCCTTCAACCAGTTTTGCAGCCTAGCTACTTTTATTGAAGTGCATAGAGTTTCCCCGAAGGCAGGGGAAAATTGTATTTTCTTGACAGCTTTGTCTAGGAAAGAGTGAGAAATCCATTTTGTTTGCATTTCATAAGAGACGGTCCAATTTGTATCTCACCATATAATGAAATTGAATATATCTTGCTGATGAAATATTTACATTTCTGAGTCTCGTCATGCATGTTGGGGAAAAGCCATGTGTACAAAAAATGTACTTTTGAAACATCTGTAGAATAAGTTGCACAATTGTACAAAAGTGAGGAAAATACAAAACTTGGGTGGATTTTCACATAAAGCTCCAAATCCAAGTCAGAATGATACCAGCAGTGGAAAGGGGAAAATTGATCTAGATCAGTGTTTCTCAACCTTCCTAATGCTGCAATCCCTCAATACAGTTCCTCATGTTGTGGTGACCCCCAACCATAACGTTATTTTTGTTGCTAATTCACAACTATAATTTTGCCGTTATTATGAATCGTAATGTAAATATCTGATATGCAGGATGTATTTTCATTCACTGGACCAAATTTGGCATAAATACCTGAGGGATTGATTTTGTCATTTGCTAGTTGTAGTTGCTGGGATTTATAGTTCACTTACAATCAAAGAGTATTCTGAACTCCACCAACAATGGAATTGAACCAAACGTGGCACACAGAACTCCCATTTCGAACAGAAAATACTGGAAGGGTTTGGTGGGCATTGACCTTGAGTTTTGGAGTTGTACTTCACCTAAATCCAGAGAGCACTATGGAGTCAAACAATGATAGATCTGGACCAAACTTGGCACAGATACTCAATATGCCCAAATGTGAACACTGGTGGAGTTAGGGAAAATAGACCTTGATATTTGGAAGTTGTAGTGGCTGGGATTTATAGTTCACATACAATCAAAGAGTATTCTGAATGTCACCAACAATGGAATTGAACCAAACTTGGCACACAGAACTCCCATGACAAACAGAAAATACTGGAAGGGTTTGGTGGGCATTGACCTTGAGTTTTGGAGTTGTAGTTCACCTACATCCAGAGAGCACTGTGGACTCAAACAATGATAGATCTGGACCAAACTTGTCACGAATACTCAATATGCCCAAATGTGAACCCTAGTTGAGTTAGGGAAAATAGACCTTGACATTTGGGAGTTGTAGTTGCTGGGATTTATTATTCACCCACAATCAAAGAGCATTTTGAACCCCACAAATAATAGAATTGGGCCAAGCATCCCACACAAAATCGCCATGACCAATAGAAAATACTGTGTTTTCTGATGGTCTTTGGTGACCCCTCTGACACCCGCTCACGACTCCTCCAGGAATCCCAACCCCCAGGTTGAGAAACACTGATCTAGATTAAGGTGACACAAAGTTGTCCATTCTTAGTCTTTCTTTGTTGCTTTCTCCAAAGTCAGCCCCAGAGGATGCCTTTTCCCATAGTCCCAACAGATGTTACTCTGATAGTAATGGGACTGAGATAGGATCCTCCCCAGAAAATCTCAAAACTGGGGCAAGTTCATATGGGAGAATATGGGAATAGGGTGCAAAGGGTGAGAGTGGTGTGATGTTTGCTTTTCACAGGAGCTTTGTGTAAGTCCATCTACAGACTTTGCCCCCTCTCATTCTCTTTCCTCTGTTGAATTGGGGCCAAAACTCAAGAGCTGTTGGACGTGTAGCTAGCCCCCTTTCCCCATCCCTCATTCAATAGATATAAGCAAATGTTTGTTTTATTGTTCATGGGTGTATTTTTTAGTTTGATTTATGTCTAATTGTAGTGTATGTGCTGGTACGGCTGTACCAGGAGCTCCAACTTTATTTTCTTTCTGTTATCTGTTTGCAGTCATAGGGCAGGCCACCTGCCCATCATAATTATGCTTTGGTTCCGCCTCTTGTTCAGGGCTCTGGGAGGGAAAGGAGCCATTTTTGGGCAGTCTCTCATAAGGAAGCTAAACTGTAGGACGTAGACCAGCTCATCCCCTAGAAAAGCTTCTTTCCTCAAGAACATTCAGGGAAACAGAAACAGAAACTCCAGGGAAAAGGTCCCAAGGCTCTGGCTGAGAGCTCACAGCCTCTCAGCCTCACAGCAATAAGAGGGAAAACAGCCCTGAAGTTTTCAAAGAATTCTCTGAGGGAGGACAGCATTACAGATCCACTGAACTCCAGCTGAAATATCTACAAGCCTCGGCTGGTAGGTCTACTCGATACCCAGACGCATTTGGAATTGGTAGTAGGACCCACACCAATGAGGCATAGATAGTAAACAGCCTGGGAGAGGTTAAATAGGGTTTTTTTCTTACAGAGAAAATACAGTTAATCAAAGTCAGTTACCAGTCCCTTGAGGACTAGACTAAGAAAGCCTTGAAGTGTTGTTTGAACCATTGAAGACTTGTTGTTTGTTCCATAATAAAGACTTTGTTGCATCATTAAAGACTCTAAAGACCATCACTTCAGAAAAATCCCTGAGAATCTCTCTTTGAGGCGCCCTGGCTTCCCACTGGGCTTAAAGTATATGTCCTATAGAAAAGACAGCTGTTACAGGCCCAGCACACGACAGAACAGTGTATAATTGTAATTGTTTGTACTGTTATTGAATTTTTGCCATTACTTTTGTGTAAACTGCTTTGAGTCCCCCTCAGGGTGAGAAAAGCCGTATACAAATACTGTAAATAAAATGCAGATATTCCAAAAATACACATACAAAAACCCTGAAATCTGAATAATCTCTGATCTTAGACGTTTCAGATAATGGAGACTCAACATGTAATAATAAACATATTTCATCAGCAACTAAACAATGCATAACAATATGGGTCCCAGTGCTCTTATCCATCAACATAGGATCTCATCCAGTCTTTCAGAGAGTCAGAACCCAGGCCACCCAATGTCACTCTCCCCAGAACCATTGAATTTCTTGTACTTACCGATAGGCATGATTAAAAAGAAAGGAAGCCAGCACAGGATGAAGCATCCCACAACGATTCCCAGGCTCTTCGCGGCTTTCTTTTCCCTGGAGAACTTCAGCAGCCTCGTGGAAAAATGGGATTTGTGCTTGGTGCTGGGGGTAGATCCAGTGGTTTCTGTTGCATTTTTGCAATGGATACGGAGGGTAACTTCTTCTGAATGGGACTTCTCGGTCTTCAGGCCACAAGAAAGTCCTTTGCTTTCCCTTCTGGCCACCACATACACCCGGCAGTACATCACCAGTATGATGATCAAAGGGAGGTAGAAAGATCCAAAAGCAGAGAATAGCACATAACCAGGATCTGTGTTGATTTGACAGATTTTCTCGTCTTCTGGAGCTGGTTGTTTCCAACCAAAGAGGGGACCTATAGATATAACGAGTGACAACACCCAGATGCACAGCAAAGCTAGGAGACCCCTCTTCTCAGTCACTATGGACGGATACCTTAGCGGATAGCTCACCCCAATGTATCGGTCTATAGAGATGACACAAAGGCTCATGATGGAAGCAGTGCAGCAAAGAACGTCAACAGCTGCCCAGATGTTACAGAAGATCCTCCCAAAAATCCAGTAGCCAAATATCTCAAAAATAGCAGAAAAGGGGAGGACAGTGGAAGTCAAGAGAAGGTCGGCCACCGCCAAATTGATAATGTAGTAGTGGGTTACGCTTTGCAAGTGTTTGTGGCAGGCGACGGAAAGGATCACCAAGATGTTGCCCAGGACCCCAAAAATGATGAGACCCCCAAAGATCACGCCTAGCAATATGGCCTTCAAAACGTTGACTTCCTCCACAGTCTGGGTGCAGTTGACGCAGGCAGGGACGGAGATGTTTTCAACATTCAAGCTCATTATCAACGCTGGTTAATGTTCATCCAATGTATCTGCGATTTACTCGGCTCTTTCTTTGAAAGAGTCCAGAGCAAATATTTGATATTTGTGAAAAAATGTATTTCCACATTGTTGATGAACACAAAATATGGATCTGGCTTCATGCAAGCTGACCAAGGAATGAAACCCTATACTTATTTGAAAAGTTACTTTTCTCCCATGACATCTACTGTAATTAGGTACATATGTATTTTTGGTCAAATGAACAATAAAAGTGCATTTTTAAAAACTCTCTTTGGAATGCTTTCTTTCGTGTTCTCCATACCTTGCTAGATGCTTAATGACAATAATATTAAGTAATGAGACCAAGATCTTGTTCCTTGTTTCTGAGGTGTGTCTATATGTGCATCCACATTCAATATATGTGCATGTGTTGATGCTCCTAAGCAAGACAATACTTTTGGAGTCACACAAAGAGTCTCAGATTCTGAAATCAAGCAATGTATGCTTCTCTGATTGGAAAAATGAAGCGCAACTGGTATCAACACATTCTTGGCTCCCATGTTTTTGATATCCTTTCCATATTGTTTATATATATATTCAAAAGTGGGACAACAGATGGTCACAAAAATGTTCCTTTTTTGGTTTGCTCTTTCCCATGTCAGATCTTCCGAGGCAAAGCGAAATGGCAGAAGGTGTAATAGTTTCAGCGTTCACGTCCCTTTTGCTCAGGATCAAATGTTGGTCATCGCCTCAAAGCAGAAAGGTTCTTCTATCTCTATGCTCTTCTTTGGACAAGTCAGCTACTTCCTAAATAAGACAAAAATGGGGAAAAAATGATATAAATCACAGCTTGCAAAGGCATTGCAGCTTGCAACCCTATACGGCAGTGGTTCTCAACCTGGGGGTCGGGACCCCTGGAGGGGTCGCGAGGGGGTGTCAGAGGGGTCACCAAAGACCATCACAGACAGTATTTTCTGTTGGTCATGGGAGTTCTGTGTGGGAAGTTTGGCCTAATTCTATCATTGGTGGGCTTCAGAATGTTCTTTGGTTGTAGGTGAACTATAAATCCCAGCAACTACAACTCCCAAATGTCAAGGTCTATTTTCCCCAAACTCCACCAGTGTTCACATTTGGGCATATTGAGTATTCGTGTCAAGTTTGGTCCAGATCTACCATTGTTTGAGTCCACAGTACTCTCTGGATGTAGGTGAACTACAACTCCCAAACTCAAGGTCAATATCCACTAAACCCTTCCAGTATTTTCTGTTGGTCCTGGGAGTTCTGTGTGGGAAGTTTGGTTCGATTCCATCCTTGGTGCAGTTCAGAATGCTCTTTGATTGTAGGTGAACTATAAATCCAAGGAACTACAACTCCCAAATGACAAAATCAATCCTCCCATCCCAACCCCACCAGTATTCAAATTTGGTCCAGTGAATGAGAATCATCCTGCATATCAGATATTTACATAACAATTCATAACAGCAGCAAAATTACAATTATGAAGTAGCAATGAACATAATTTAATGGTTGGGGGTCATCACAACATGAGGAACTGTATTAAGGGGTCGCAGCATTATGACGGTTGAGAACCACTGCTATACAGTTCCGGCCCAGCGTATCTGTCCGAACGCATCTCCCTCTAAGTCCCACCTCGGAGATTAAAATCTTCTGGGGAGGCCCTGCTCTCGGCCCCGCCTCTATCACAAGTGAGACTGGCGGGGACGAGGAGCAGGGCCTTCTCAGTGGTGGCCCCTCACCTGTGGAATTCACTCCCCAGGGAAATTAGATCATCGACATCCCTCCTTTCCTTTAGAAGGAAATTAAAAATGTGGATTTGGGACCAGGCATTTGGGCAATCTGGCAGATAAATAAAGGACAACAACGACTGATAGGAATTGGACAATGTGGAATGAATTTATGGACTCTGAGCTGGCGAACATTGAGCATGAGATTGATTTTATTGACTGTGGTATATAATTGGTTGTTTTTAACTGTTATAATTGTTTAATTGCTGTTTATATATGTTTATCTGTATTATTGTATAGATATCTAATTGTGCCTTTTGTAAGCCGCCCTGAGTCCCCCCTCGGGGGTTGAGAAGTACGCGAAATAAATAAATAAATAATTAATAAATAAATAAATTTTAAAATCTAGGGACAAAAACTTGGTTTATTTATTTATTTATTTTGAGCATTTCTACCGCGCCCTTCTCAACCCCCAAGGGGGGACTCAGGGCGGCTTACAACCGGCACAATTCTATTTATTTATTTATTTATTTATTTATTTATTTATTTACTTCATTTGTATACCACTATTCTCAGCCCTTAGGCGACTCATAGCGGTTAACAACAGTCAAGCAAAGCAAAACAAAGCAAAGCAATCAAAGCAAAAATTCAATGCGGCATCAACAAATAGTTTTCTAAGATCTACAGAGACACTCGCTGGAACACCTCAGCAAGCGAGAGTCCAAAAGTGGCAGGCTCAAACCCAGAACCTCAACCAATGGTTGAGAGACTCCCCCCTGGGCACACAGAACTGGGCGACTTGGAAGGCTGAACAGACTGCGCTCTGGCACCACGAGATGCAGAGCCAACCTTCAGAAATGGGGCTACAAAGTGAATCCACGACATGTGAGTGTGGAGAAGAGCAAACCACAGACCACCTGCTGCAATGCAACCTGAGCCCTGCCACATGCACAATGGAGGACCTCCTTGTGGCAACACCAGAGGCACTCCAAGGGGCCAGATACTGGTCAAAGGACATTTAATCAACTACCAAACTCGCAAATTTTGTATTTTGTTTGTTTGTTTCTTTTGTTCTGTTAGAAATGTAATACAATTGACTGGTTGCCCTGACACGACAAATAAATAGCCCGAAAAAAACCTATAACATCCCAAACACCTTGTTGTTGTTGTTGTTGTTGTTGTTGTTGTTGCCAATGGGATTTTGGCCTGCATCAAGAGGAGCCTAGTATCTAGATCTAGGGAAGTCATGCTACCCCTCTATTCCGCTTTGGTTAGACCACACCTGGAATATTGTGTCCAATTCTGGGCACCACAATTCAAGAGATATATTGACAAGCTGGAATGTGTCCAGAGGAGGGCGACTAAAATGATCAAGGGTCTGGAGAACAAGCCCTATGAGGAGCGGCTTAATGAGCTGGGAATGTTTAGCCTGAAGAAGAGAAGGATGAGAGGAGATATGATAGCCATGTATAAATATGTGAGAGGAAGCCACAGGGAGGAGGGAGCAAGCTTGTTTTCTGCTTCCTTTGGAGACTAGGACGCAAAACTACAAGGATGGAGTTTCCACCTGAATATGAGGAAGAACTTCCTGACTGTGAGAGCCGTTGAGCAGTGGAACTCTCTGCCCCTGGAGTGTGGTGGAGGCTCCTTCTTTGGAAGCTTGTAAACAGAGGCTGGATGGCCATCTATCAGGGGTGATTTGAATGCAATATTCCTGCTTCTTGTCAGAATGGGGTTGGACTGGATGGCCCATGAGGTCTCTTCCAACTCTTTGATTCTATGATTCTATCTGCAACTAGCAGATAAAATAATGACAATGTCATGTTTCAGACTTGACCAAATCTCTTTGTTTTGGTTTTAATCACGATCGGAGGTTTCTTTCCCCCAACAAGAGGACAAAATTAAGCTCCGAAAACTATTCTCCAGCTGCTGATTATGAGGGATTTCGGCATTTCTTAGAAACATTAGAGCTTTGCATAGAAACGTTCCACATCCACGGTGCCTCTTGCATTTTCATCCCACCATTTACAATTTGATCCTACACATTTGTGGGTGGAAACCGAGGACAATATTTGCCGGCGATGAAGTGGACACGTTTGATTTTCTAATCCTTCGAGGTGCTTTAAGATATTCTTATCCATTCTTTCCCTGCACGGAATCTAATCAAAATTTCCTCAGGAAAATGGGTTCGCGGGTTTGAATTCAAAATCAATCAGATTCAGGCTGCAACGTTTAGACAGAAAGAAATCCATTGAACTCAGCAAGTCTTAATTATCAGGATGTGGAATTGCTCTGTTAAACCTTAATTTATCCTATTTTTGTTTTTTTAATGATATATCAAGTTTTGACTCAGTGGGGTGAAAACAGGCAAAACGAAAACAACAAGAGGAAAAAAAAGGATAAAAGAGAGTACAATGTGTTGCCGAAGGCTTTCAGAATCACTGGGTTGCTGTGAGTTTTCCGGGCTGTATGGTTATGTTCCAGAAGCATTCTCTCCTGACGTTTTGCCCACAACTATGACAGGCATCCTTAGAGGTTGTGTGGTCTGTTGGAAACGAGGTTTATATAATAATAATAATAATAATAATAATAATAATAATAATAATAATAATGTATTGTCGAAGGCTTTAATGGCTGGAATCACTAGGTTCTTGTGGGTTTTTTCGGGCTATATGGCCATGTTCTAGAGGCATTTTCTCCTGACGTTTCGCCTGCATCTATGGCAAGCATCCTCAGAGGTAGTGAGGTCTGTTGGAATTAGGAAAATGGGTTTATATATCTGTGGAATGGCTGGGGTGGGGCAAAGAGCTCTTCTCTGCTGGAGCTAGGTCTGAATGTTTCAACTGACCACCTTCATTAGCATTTGAAGGCCTGGCTGAGCCTGGGGGAATCTTTTGTTGAGAGGTGTTAAGATGTGCCTGGTTGTTTCCTCTCTGCTGTTTTGCTGTTGTAATTTTAGAGTTTTTTTTTAATACTGTTAGCCAGATTTTGTTCATTTTCATGGTCTCCTTCTTTCTGTTGAAATTGTCCACATGTTTGTGGATTTCAATGGCTTCTCTGTGTAGTCTGACATGGTGGTTGTTTTATTATTATTACTAATAATAGTAAAACTTTATATATACCCTGCCACCATCTCCCCAAGGGACTTGGAGCGGCTTACATGAGGCCAAGCCCAACAACACATCAATAAAACAAGAAAGCAATAAACAAAAACAATACAATTAATATAGATCACATAAAATAATAATAATAATAATAATAATAATAATAATAATAATAATAATAACTTTATTTACACCCCGCCACCATCTCCCCAAGGGACTCAGAGCGGCTTAGATGAGGCCCAACAACACATCAATAAAACAGGAAAGCAATAAACAAAACAATGCAATGCAATACAAATTAATATAAATCACATATAACAATAACACAGGAGGATTTTAAATTAAATGTAATAATTTAAATTTTTTAAAATTTTTATATATCAGTGGAATGATGTCCAGGGTGGGAGGAAGAACTCTTGTCTGTTTAAAGCAAGTCTGAATGTTGCAATTAACCAGCTTGATTATCATTGAATAGCCCTGCAGGTTCAAAGCCTGGCTGCTTCCTGCCTGGGGGTTATCCTTTCTTGGGATTTGTTAGCTGGCCCTGATTGTTTCATAGGGACCACCGAACACAGCATTGCCCGAACATGAATCAAGGAATATGAAAGGCACTGCCGACTAATTCAACCAGAGAAGTCAGCCATAGCAGAGCACCTGAGGAACCAACCTGGACACAGCGTATTATTTGAGAACACAGAAATGCTGGACCACTCTCACAACCACCATGTCAGACTGCACAGAAAAGCCACTGAAATCCACAAACATGTGGGCAATTTCAACAGAAAGGAGGAAACCATGAAAATGAACAAAATCCGGCTACCAGTATTAAAAAAAACTCTAAAATCAAGGCAGTACACAAAGAACAAGACTCAGAAAACAGGGGAATTCCAGAGAGGAAACAATCAGAGCCAGCTAACACCTGTTTAATCTGTTTACTTAATTGATACGTGTTTAAATTGCTTATATGGGTTGTAGTAGGTTTTTTTCTGGCTATATGGCCATGTTCTAGGGGCATTCTCTCCTGACGTTTCGCCTGCATCTATGCCAAGCATCCTCAGAGGTAGTGGGGTCTGTTGGAATTAGGAAAATGGGTTTATATATCTGTTGAAAGACCAGGGTGGGACAAAGGACTCTTGTCTGCTGGAGCTAGGTGTGAATGTTTCAACTGACCACCTTGATTAGCATTTGATAGCCTGGAAGTGCCTGGAGCAATCTTTTGTTGAGAGGTGATTAGATGTCCCTGATTGTTTCCCCTCTGCTGTTTTGCTGTTTTAATTTTAGAGGTTTTTTTTTAATACTGGTAGCCAGATTTTGTTCATTTTCATGGTTTCCTCCTTTCTGTTGAAACATTCTGCTTATATGTTTTGACTGTTTATATTTTGACGACTTGTGTTTATTGTTTACCTGTGTGACATTCAATTTTGCCGGATTTGTAAGCCACCTTGAGTCCCCTCTGGGGTAGAGAAAGAAGGGGTAGAAATGAAGCAAATAAATAAATAAATAAAAATAACACTTCCCTACAAAAGATTCCCCCGGGCAGGAAGCAGCCAGGCTGTGATGCTGCAATGCTATTCAATGCTAGTCAAGCTGCGACATTGACACTTGCCTAAAGCAAAAAAGAGTTATTTCTCCCACCCTGGATATCATTCCGCAGATATATAAACCCCACTTACCTAGTTTCCAACAGACCTCGCAACCTCTGAGGATGCCTGCCATAGATGTGGGTGAAACGTCAGGAGAGAATGCTTCTGGAACATGGCCATACAGCTAAGAAAACTCACAGCAACCCAAAGAGAGTAGAGGTTGATTTTCTCTAATCCAAAATGCTTGGGACCAGAAGAGTTCAGAATTCTTTTAAAAAGATTTAGGAGCATTTTTATTTCCATACTAGCTGTACCCGCCACGCGACCTTCCTTCCTTCCTTCCTTCCTTCCTTCCTTCCTTCCTTCCTTCCTTCCTTCCTTCCTTCCTTCTTCCTTCCTGTCTTTCCTTCTCTTCTTCCTTCCTTCTCTGTCTCTTTCCTTCCTTCCCCTTTTTTCTTTCTCTTCTTCTGTCTCTCTCTCCTTCTTTCTTTCCCTCCCTCTTTCTCTACATCTTCCCTCCTTCCTTCTCTCCCTCTTTCCTTCCTTCTTTCCCTTTTTTCTTTCCTTATCTCCTTCCTTCCTTCTCTAACTTTCCTTCCTTCCCCCTTTTTCTTTCCCTCCCTCTTTCTCTCCTTTCTTCCTTCTCTACCTCCTTTCTTCCTTCTCTCTTTGCTTCCATATTTCCTTCTCCCTTTCCTTCTTTCTCTACATCTTCCCTCCTTCCTTCTCTCCCTCTTTCCTTCCTTCTTTCCCTTTTTTCTTTCCTTCTCTCCTTCCTTCCTTCTCTAACTTTCCTTCCTTCCCCCTTTTTCTTTCCCTCCCTCTTTCTCTCCTTTCTTCCTTCTCTACCTCCTTTCTTCCTTCTCTCTTTGCTTCCATATTTCCTTCTCCCTTTCCTTCTTTCTCTACATCTTCCCTCTTTCCTTCACTCCCTCTTTCCTTCCTTCTTTCCCTTTTTTCTTTCCTTCTCTCCTTCCTTCCTTCTCTAACTTTCCTTCCCCCTTTTTCTTTCCCTCCCTCTTTCTCTCCTTTCTTCCTTCTCTACCTCTTTTCTTCCTTCTCTCTTTGCTTCCATATTTCCTTCTCCCTTTCCTTCTTTCTCTACATCTTCCCTCTTTCCTTCACTCCCTCTTTCCTTCCTTCTTTCCCTTTTTTCTTTCCTTCTCTCCTTCCTTCCTTCTCTAACTTTCCTCCCCCTTTTTCTTTCCCTCCCTCTTTCTCTCCTTTCTTCCTTCTCTACCTCTTTCCTTCCTTCTCTCTTTGCTTCCATGCTTCCTTCTCCCTTTCCTTCTTTCTTTACATCTTCCCCCTTCCTTCACTCCCTCTTTCCTTCCTTCTTTCCCTTTTTTCTTTCCTTCTCTCCTTCCTTCCTTCTCTAACTTTCCTTCCCCCTTTTTCTTTCCCTCCCTCTTTCTCTCCTTTCTTCCTTCTCTACCTCTTTTCTTCCTTCTCTCTTTGCTTCCATATTTCCTTCTCCCTTTCCTTCTTTCCTTCCTTCCCCTTTTTTCTATCTCTCCCTCTTTCTCTCCTTTCTTCCTTCTCTACCTCTTTTCTTCCTTCTCCCTTTCCTTCTTTCTTTCCCTCCTTCTCTTTTCTTTCTTTCTTTCTTTCTTTCTTTCTTTCTCTTTTTCCTCCCCTTTCCTCCTTTTTTCTTCCTTTTTTCTGTATTGTCATGTAGCTTTTCATCATTTAGCATTTTGGGGCTTTTTAAGTCCCTCCTGCTGCGTTTTTCAGTGTTTTTGTGAGTAAAGGACATACATTGGGTTGTTAGATGTCTTGTGTCCAAATTTGGTGTTAATTCATCCAGTGGTTTTTGAGTTCCGTTAATCCCACAAACGAACTTTACATCTATATATATAAAAAAATGCTCTGTGCGTAACGAGTACCTCAAAAACAAAAAAACTACTGGGCCAAATGACCCCAAATTTGGCAACAAAACTCCTCACAATCCAAGGAATGACCATCACTGAAAAAAACCCCACAAAAATATGTTTAAATTCAAAATATTACTATATTAAATAGACTCATAGAATAGAGTTAGAGGGGAATCTACCATAGTATTGCGGGAGGACAGACAGGAAGGAAGGAAGGAGAGAAGAAAGGGAGGGAGGGAAAAAGGGAAGGAATGTAGGAGGAAAAGGGGGAAGGAAGGAAGGAAGGAAGGAAGAAAGGAAAGAGGGAAGGAAGGGAGAAAAGGAAGGAAAGAAAGAGGTACTGAAGGAAGGAAGAAGAGAAAGTAGAAAGGAAAGAAAAAGGGGGGAAAAGGCAGGAAAGAGGTAAAGAAGGAAGGAAAAAGAAAAGGAAATAAAAATGAAAGAAGGAAGGAAACAGGGAGGGAAGGAAGGAGACAAAGGAAGAAGTAGAGAAAGGGAGAGGGAAGGAAGGAAGGTAAGAAAGAGAGAAGGAAGGATGAAACCAAAAAGCAAAAGAAGGAAAGAAAGAGGTACCGAAGGAAGGAAGAAGAGAAAGTAGAAAGGAAAGAAAAAGGGGAAGAAAGGCAGGAAAGAGGTAAAGAAGGAAGGAAAGAGAAAAGGAAATAAAAATGAAAGAAGGAAGGAAACAGGGAGGGAAGAAGTAGAGAAAGGGAGAGGGAAGGAAGGAAAGAAAGAGAGAAGGAAGGATGAAACCAAAGAGCAAAAGAAGGAATGAAAAAAAGAGGTAGAGAAGGAAGAAAGGAGAGAAAGGGGAAGACAAAGGGGGGAAAGAATAGGTAGTTACCACTCTTTCATAATAGTCCAGATATCTATCCCTACTTTGAAAATTCTTACGATAGGCCACAGCAACGCGTGGCAGGGCACAGCTAGTTTATTTATATATGTAAGAAATAAGATTGGAGCCCCCAATGAGCAACCACTGAGCTGCTAAATTTGTTGACCAAAAAGTCACAGGTTTGAATCCAGGGAGCAGCATAAGCTTCTCCTGTCAGCTCCAGCTTCTAGCTCCCGGTGGCGCAGTGGGTTAAACCCCTGTGGATGAGTTCCCTCTATCAGAGGTGGATGAGTTCCCTCTATCAGCTCCAGCTTCTTATGCGGGGACATGAGAGAAGCCTCCCACAAGGATGATAAAAACATCAAATCATCTGGGCGTCCCCTGGCCAACGTCCCTGCAGACGGCCAATTCCCTCACACCAGAAGCGACTTGCAGTTTCTCAGGTCGCTCCTGACATGACAAAAAAAAAAAGCTCCAGCTTCTGCCAACCTAGCAGTTCAAAAACATGCAAACGTGAGTAGATCAATAGGTACCATTCCGACGGGAACGTAATGGCACTCCATTTAGTCATGCCGGCCATATGACCTTGGAGGTGTCTACGGACAATGCTGGTTCTTCGGCTTAGAAATGGAGATGAGCACCACACCCCAGAGTCGGACACGACTGGACTTAATATCAGGGGGGAAACTACCTTTACCTAAGAAATAAGATATCCAAGTGTGGACACAAAACTCTACTACATTTAGGAAATTGTATACAATATTTCAAAAATCGTTCTGTGCGTGAATGAAAGTTTTGTATACACAAAGGGACCACTATATGGAAAGTCTGGGATATTTTGGGGTTTGTAGTAAGGGATTAGTGATAGATGTTCAATCTGCTATGAGTGAGACAGGGGAGACTTCATCTGCCTGGAAGAATTCCCAGGAAAGGGGATATCAAGCACATGGGGAAAACTACCTTTACCTAAGAAATAAGATATCCAAATGTGGACACAAAACTCTACTACATTTAGGAAATTGTATGCAGTATTCCGAATGAAAGTTTTGTGTACACAAAGGGACCACTATATGGAAAGTCTGGGATATTTTGGGGTTTGTAGTAAGGGATTTATGATAGATGTTCAATCTGCTACGAGTGAGACAGGGGAGACTTCATCTGCCTGGAAGAATTCCCAGGAAAGGGGATATCAAGCACGTGGGGAAAACTACCTTTACCTAAGAAGTAAGATATCCAAATGTGGACACAAAACTCTACTACATTTAGGAAATTGTATATAGTTTTGTGTACACAAAGGGACCACTATATGGAAGGTTTGGGATATTTTGGGGTTTGTAGTAAGGGATTTGTGATAGATGTTCAGTCTGCTATGAGTGAGACAGGGGAGACTTCATCTGCCAGGAAAGGGGATATCAAGCACATTAGGAATGAAAAACCTTACAAATCCATCCCCAAACATTGCTTTTTCTTCTCCTTTCTGTTCTATACTCCTTCTCTGAACCAGGAAAGGCTGGAAAGCATGCAAAACACAAGCCCCCAAAGGATGGAAAAAGGGAGACGAGGAAAGGAAGAAAGGCAGAAGATGGGAACGCATAAGTGTCCAATGCTACTTACTCCAGAGATGGAAAGGGTGCGGACCTCCTGTTGCCAAACGAATGCATCTGCATGGCTTGCTGATCCGCTCTGCTTGCTGTAATACTCTTAATACCAGAAGAAGGGAAGGGGAAAAAAAGAAAAAAGAGGATTAATCTGCCCCAGCCCTGGTTGTTTGCTCTCCCCTCCTTTCAGGGAGTATGGGATGACTCACAATATTCTGTCCCAATGGCTGAGAGGGACTGTTTGCCAGCTTGGTGGCACTACCCTGCTTCCCTTCCTCGGAGGAATATTATTATTATTCCCGTTTATTCGGCTGTCAACTTCGACTGAGCTGGGAGTAAATGCAGCTGGCAGGCGCTTCAGTATTACCGTAATGCTCCCTACGCTTACCGTATTAATGCTGAAAGAGGGGCACAAGTGACAGCTGTCTGCTCTGCATTGCTTCCTGGTGACTTTTCTGCTTCTCATTAATGCATTTGGAAACCAATTGAACTGCTATGGTTCAAAGCTATGGGGTTAAAGGAGCTGCAGTTCTTTTTGGCAGAGAAGGCCGCAGAGGTTGAAAAACTACAACTTCTAGGATTCTAGAGCATTGAGCCTTAGGAGTTAAAGTGGATTCAAACGGCATTAAATCTACAGTGTGGATAACCCAGGCATGGGCAAACTTCAGCTCTCCCGGTGTTTTGGATTTCAACTCCCACAATTCCTAACAGCCAGTTGTTAAAGTGGATTCAAACTGCATTATGTCTACAGTATGGATGCACTGTATGGGCTAATCCAGTCATGAGCAAACTTCAGCCCTCCCGGTGTTTTGGACTTCAACTCCCACAATTCCTAACAGCCAGTTGTTAAAGTGGATTCAAACTGTATTAAATCTACTCTGTAGATGCATGTTATGTGTTAACCCAGGCATGGGCAAACTTCGGTCCTCCCGTTGTTTTGGATTTCAACTCCCACAATTCCTAACAGCCGGTAGTTAAAGTGGATTCAAACTGCATTATGTCTACAGTATGGATGCACAGTATGGACTAACCCAGTCATGGGCAAACTTCAGCCCTCCCGGTGTTTTGGATTTCAACTCCCACAATTCCTAATAGCCAGTTGTTAAAGTGGATTCAAACTGTATTAAATCTACACTGTAGATGCACCCTATGGATTAATTCAGGCATGGGCAATCTTCAGACCTCCCGGTGTTTTGTACCTCAACTCCCACAATTCCTAATAGCCAGTAGTTAAAGTGGATTCAAACTGTATTAAATCTACAGTGTAGATGCACCCTATGGGTTAACCCAGGCAATGGCAAACTTCAGCCCTCCCATTGTTTTGGATTTCAACTCCCACAATTCCTAATAGCTGGTAGTTAAAGTGGATTCAAACTGCATTAAGTCTACAGTGTGGATGCACCTTATGAGTTAACCCAGGCACGGGCAAACTTCAGCCCTCCTGGTGTTTTGGACTTCAACTCCCACAATTCCTAATAGCCAGTTGTAAAAGTGGATTCAAACTGCATTAAATCTACAGTGTGGATGCACCCTTTGGGTTAATTCAAGCATGGACAAACTTCGGCCTTCCCGATGTTTTGGACTTCAACTCCCACAATTACTAACAGCTGGTAGTTAAAGTGGATTTAAACTGCATTAAATCAATAATGTAGATGCACCCTATGGGTTAACTCAGGCACTGGCAATCTTCAGCTCTCCAAGTGTTTTGGACTTCAACTCCCACAATTACTAACAGCCTACTGGCTGTTAGGAATTGTGGGAGTTGAAGTCCAAAATACCGGGAGGGCTGAAGTTTGCCCATGCCTGGGGTAACTCATACGTATAGTACAACCTCCATATTATCCACAAGTGACTCGATTAAAAACAAAACCCTTTCTGGCAAATATAGTTTTACACTGTAGAAATGATGTAGTTTGACACCACTTGAACTGCCATGACTGAATTCTATGGAAATTGTAGTTTTACAAGGGTTTTTAATTTTTCAAATGGATTTAACTGAATTTTCTTCTAATATGAATGATGTTTAATACTATGTTGCCGAAGGCTTTCGTGGCTGCCATCACTGGGTTGCTGTGAGTTTTCCAGGCTGTATGGCCATCTTCCAGAAGCATCCTCTCCTGATGTTTCACCTACATCTATGGCAGGCTTCCTTAGAGGTTGTGAGGTCTGTTGGAAACCAGACAAGTGGGGTTTATATATCTGTGAAATGATGTCCAGGATGGAAGAAAGAACTCTTGTCTGCTTGAGGCAAGTGTGAATGTTGCAATTGGCCAGCTTGATTAGTATTAAATAGCCTTGCAGCTTCAAAGCCTGGCTGCTTCTTGTGTTGGGAGGTAGACTCAGCCAAAAGTAAACTGCTGTAGTCTTGCCTAGTTTGTGCGTCCTTCCTCATCAATGGAGTCGGCCATCTTAACCAAGCTCTGATGTTGCTTGGAGCCACATCTATTCCAGGTCCCTTCCTGATTATCTGTTTTGAACCGGATTATATGGCAGTGTAGACTCATATAATCCAGTTCAAAGCAGATAATGTGGATTTTCTGCTTTGATGATCTAAATTATACGGCAATATCAAAGAGGCTCCAGTTATCATCTGTGAAATGTTGGCAGATAAAAAATATAGTTTCTTATGTGCTTCTCAAAATGTTTGGTTAATTGCTATTTTGGTAAAGAAGCAAACAGTTATTATAAGATATTAATTATAATTATTATTTACTTAAGTCATTTATTTAGCTGAAAAAAATATTAGCTTTGTTTAAATATTCATATTTATTTATGTTTAAAATCAAGAATCAACCAAGGTATTCTTAAAAAGCTGCAAGGGAAAAAAAAAGAGAATATTTCCCTGTTACTCTCTAGACACAGCAGATACTGTGGTAAAGACAAAACGCAAAGAGCGGAATGGCGTGACCTGTGCTAATATAGGCATTTGGTGCCATGTGATTATTTATTTAAGAATTTATGTGCCTCCTTCCAGAACAAAGTTTTCTCGGGGAAACTTGCAGCGATGATAATAAAACATTCATAGTCAACATGAAAAGGCAACCTATAAAACTGTTTCCGAAAACTGGCGGCATGAGTGTCGGATACAAGGCCATTTGCAGGTAGCCTGAAATTCTGGAAGAGTATTTTGTCAACAGGGCTGGGTTTATCAGTGGCAGACAGGTTGCCATTAATTTGGCCTGTTTAAGGTCGTATTATTTATTTTTATGTTTATTTTTCACGTCAGGAGCGACTTGAGAAACTGCAAGTCGCTTCTGGTGTGAGAGAATTGGCTGTCTGCAGACGTTGCCCAGGGGACACCCGGATGTTTTGATGTTTTACCATCCTTGTGGAAGGCTTCTCTCATGTCCTCACATGGGGAGCTGGAGCTGACAGATGTTGTCGAGGACATCCCAGACCCCTGCCTTCAAGCTGGTCTGACCAGCAGCAGGGAGTTCCACAGTTCCTGGCTGCGAAGTTTATTTATTTATTTATTTCGGTTTCTTCTACCCCGTCCTTCTCATCCCGAAGGGGACTCAGGGCGGCTTACAAAAGCAAAGGCACAATTCGATGCCCGCATCACATAACAGTCAAAAACAAAAATAGCATCAATTCACAGTTAAACAACAATTCCTGCATTGCAACCATAAAACCAATAAAACCAAATACAAACCCAATTCCTCCTCATAAACGGTCAGTGTTTGCTATCTCATAGTTCTAATTTTCAATTCCACATTGTCAGTCCTGTCAGTCTTACTCGTCTGATTGTCTTATCTAGTTGTCAGATTGCCCAAAGGCCTGGTCCCACAACCACGTCTTTACCTTCCTCCTGAAGGAGAGGAGGGATGATGATGCCCTAATTTCCCCCGGGAGTGAGTTCCACAGGTGAGGAGCCACCACTGAGAAGGCCTTGCTCCTCGTCTCCACCAGCCTCACTTGTGACAGCGTTGGGGTCGAGAGCAGGGCCTCCCCAGATGATCTCAAACTCCGGGGTGGGATGTAGTTTGGCCCAATGTAGTTGGGCCAAACTGATGAAATGTGCCCCAGCAGCAGCCTCAACCAGGGACTCTATACAGCTGTGTGCTCTCTCCTTTCACTCCTTTGCTAGCCCCAACAATGTAACCAATCCCCAAATAAAGATTAATCAAATTCAACTTTTAACCTCTCCAGCTTGATATTTTGTGTCCCTTTCTTGCCTGAAGCTATCAAAATGCATGAAACTAACCTTTTCCAGGCCGCGGGAGACTGCAGGCCTGCCCGGAATGCCTTCCTGGCGTTCCGGGGAGGTTGAATCTGCACTCTCCCAAACCGCGGATATGGAAACCCCTCGGGCCCCCCGTATCCGTGAGATGGCGGATCGACTCCATTCCGATAGCATATTTTTCCTGGCTAAATTCTAACACTATCTGCTATCTCACATTTTGTATTTCGGGCTTCTACGCTCGGGGAATAACCTTTTGAGTTTTAAAAATATAATTTTAAGGAAACAGCTGATTGTCAAAAGCCCAGCTTTGCTGCTGCCTTGCTGCCCTTGCCACTTCTTTGCCCCTGCCAAGCCCCTGCCCCTGCCAAGCCCCTCAGGGTCTCTCCTCCTGGGGTAGACCCTCCTAAAGTTCCTATCGATTTCACAGAGGGAGCTCATCCGTGCTCTCTCTGGATAATAATAATAAAACTTTATACCCCGCTACCATCTCCCCAAGGGACTCGGTGCGGCTTACATGAGGCCGAGCCCACAATACATCAATAATACAAACAATAACAACAATAATACAAGCAATAATATAAAACTCATAACAAAAAATAAGCAATAGACACTAACAGTAACAAACCGACGTTTAAAAACCTATGTAATAAATAACATTTTAAAAATAATGCTAAGCATGAACAGGTAAAATATAACTAGGATACAGTTTTTTTGGAGAGGGATGGGGTGTGCAGACAATCCTAGAGCATTAATAAAGTCCCTGTCCCTCGTCCCCACCAGTCTCACTTGTGATAAAGGCGGGGCCGAGAGCAGGGCCTCCCCCGAAGATCTTAACCTGGCTGCTGCCCGTTGGACCAATTGAAATTTCCGGGCCGTTTTCAAGGGCAGCCCCACGTAGAGTGCATTACAGTAATCCAATCTGGAGGTGACTAAGGCATGGACCATCCTGGCCAGATCCGACTTCATGAGGAATGGTCGCAGTTGGCGCATGAGACTTAATTGTGCAAAGGCCATCCTGGCCACCGCCGACGCCTGAGCTTCAAGCGTCAGTGATGAGTCCAGGAGGACACCCAAACTGCGGATCTGTGACTTCAGGGGGAGTGTAACCCCATCCAGCACAGGTTGCCACCCTATACCCTGATCCAGTTTACGATCGACCAGGAGGACCTCTGTCTTGTCGGGATTGA